CACGAGTACAACATTACGTTAGGACTTGGACCGCATATGAGTTCCTTGTACTATTTTTCTAAATGCACGGTGTTTGTGAAACGATCACTTGTCAAGCATGCATGCACGATGAGTTACATTGTATATCGTCATGAAACGTTTTGGAGTCATATCAGTTGCATGTGAGTTAGTATCTTACACAGTGGACTGGTTGCACAATGGGGACTATGATGGCTTGCATGGTGGTTTGCCACGAAAGTATACGTTTCTTGTCGTCAATGAGTTGTGTGGGCAAGAACGCATTCTTGCGAAATGTAAAATGCACGTGATGTTGTACATTATAACAAAATCGGGTTTATAGGACGCTTCCAAATTCTAAGTGTTCTAATAGACCTCTTTATAGGACTTAGTTTATATGACCAAAAAATAAAGTGTCCTATATAAATGCGTTGTAATAAGTTTATATGATGCTTTTGGGCGTCTTAACAAATTTTTTAGGATTTTTTTAACACAAAGTATCACATTAGCAACTTTATAGGACACTTTTGAGAAAGTTTCCTATAAACTCAATTTTTTATAGGACAATTGTTTTTATAGGACAATTTTTCAAATAGTGTCATATAAAGTTGATAATGAAACGTTTTATATTAAAAGTGTCCTAAAAAACTTATTACGACGTCAAAACACTTCAGATAAACTTATTACAACACCTTTAGATATGACACTTTATTTTTTTGGTCCTATAAACTAAGTACTATAAAGAGGTCTATTAGGACACTTAGAATTTGGGAGTGTCCTATAAACCAGATTTTGTTGTAGTGGTATGAAGATAGTCGGGTGGGGGTATGTACTCTTGTGCGTTTGCTTTCATTTTTGGTATATGTTCATAAAGGTTTATGTCTGATATTGTTGTCTATATTATTGTTGCTTTCAAGAGATTCACTAGACCTTTCGGTCTAATACCTGTTTTCAAACAATAACACATATTTTGGGCCTTTATTACGTTGAGCGAACTAGCAAGGACAAGGCTAAGATATAAACCTCAAGTTGTAAAGCTGCATAGATGTTGATTTGCTAGCGACTTGGAAATTCAGTTTTACGAATTATTTAAAAGCTTGACTTGGGATCGATGTAATAATCTCAGTAGTGTATGTTAATTACTTTTTCACTGCAACATTTGAGATATTTGTGGTTGACTTGATGTTTCGGAATCTTGATGTTCACTAATTCAACAAATTAGTGTCGTTATTGACTTTATGGATTTAAAGGTCATTAGACGTTGTTTGTGTATCATTTGGTGGAGAACACGTTGCACTTGAAATGATTGTCGTTGTTGAAGTTTAATTGTTGCCACAGAAAATCTCCTCGATGTGATGGGGCTAGCTAGGTTTTGTTTGTGTACATAGTCTTATCTCAGAACCCTCGTCGAACACTCACTATGATGGAAGTATCACAATTGATTACCCACATATTGACAGGTAGATATTCGTACCTTGGAGGTGTTTTAGAAATGATCACACAAAACTTGAGGCTTATGAAAGGTTCTCTCTTTTCTGGACTACTGAAATAAATCTGTCTCTTCTAACAACATCAATCTTGAAGAACTTCCATTTCAAATCCTCAACTTTCCACCTTATTTTGAGCCCCTAGTTCCAAATCTAACATCAAATCTTCAAGAACATTAAAATTTGAGGAGAAATTTTGAGGAGGGTTTGAGGGTTTTCTAGAAACAGGGAAGAGAGAGAGAGAGAAAGAGAGAGAGAGACAGTAATTTTGGTTTAAAAAAATTTAAGTACACACATATAGGGCTGTAAACGAACCGAATGAACACGAACGGAGGCTTGTTCATGTTCGTTCGTTTAACTTAACCGAGTAAACGAACGAACACGAACGGTAAACGAACGAAAATCTTTGTGTTCGTGTTCGTTCGTTTAGAAATCAGGTATGTTCGTGTTCGTTTATGTGCGTTCATTAACATGCTAAACGAACGTAAACGAACGAACATAAACGAACGGACTAAACGAACATAAACGAACGGGCTAAACGAACATAAATAAATATTATTTGAATTCAAAGTATATAATAAAAAGATTATATATTAAATTTAATATATAAACGAACATAAACGAACGAATATAAACGAACGGTAAATGAACGAACGTAAACGAACGGTAAATGAACGAACGTTCACGAACATAAATGAACGAAYGTAAACGAACGGTAAATGAACGAACGTTCACGAACATAAATGAACGAACGAGACTCTTGTTCATGTTCGTTCGTTTAACTAAACGAATAAAAAAATTTGTTCATGTTCGTTCATTTATTAAATAAACGAACATAAACGAACTTCCCGCCGAACGGTTCACGAACGGTTCATTGAACGTTCGGTTCATTTACAGCCCTACACACATATATACACACAACATTTAAAAAAAATAAAAAAAATTAATTTTTTATGAGCGGGTAAAAAATTAAGGTAAAAAAGGTGTATATGTTAAAAATTGAGGAGTGCTATGAGATATTAGAAATACAAGGAATATCAACCAAAAAATCTTTGAAATTAAGCAAAAAAGGAAAACACCTACAAAAAAAACTTAAAAAGATATCTTGAAAATGAACCAAAAACTTAAAAAATTCCTAGAAATGGTGGAATTCGACTAAACATGTCAAATGACTTTTACAGACTTTTGATCCACCTTAAAGGGGCCCACCTCGACAAAAATCTTGAATCCAACACTGATTAATTTTCGTTAATAATCTTGATCTAAGAACATCTGCAATAGATTCTTCAACATAGAGAAAAAAAAGTCAAAACATCCAACAAAAGTTACCTTCATCTCCAACAGATTCTTTATTTTGAAAAGTTCACAATTAATTATATTATTAAAATAACATTCGACACGACTCATAAAATATTATTTTCTCTTTAAATTCAAGCAATCTCATTAATAAAAATAAAAAAAAAGTCAATTCTCTCTCATAAATAATCATTTTTTAAAAAAAAATTCATGTCGTTTCTCATACTTTCTCCATTTAAAAAAAGGCGTTAAAAAATATGCCAAAACAAAAACTCCAAATTTTTAATTTTAAAAAGTCTATTAGAAATACGATTTAAAACTTCCAATAAATTTAATTTTCGGTAATAATAGAAGGCTTGGAAAATACGTGAAGCCTTATGTTGACCCAAGGGAGGATCTACCTTGTAAAAGGTGGGGGGAAAGGCCCTCATTAAAAAATTAAAATAAATAAATTTTTTAAGGGTAAAAGTTGTTTTTTTTACTTTCTATCATGGTTTTCCTCCGTAATTTCTTGTTAGGCCCCCACCAACTAAAGAAGTATCTTGAAATCAACCAAAAAACTGAAAAATTCCTCGAAATTGATAAAAAAAACCCTTAAAAAATCCCTCGAAATAATCCAAAAAACTTCAAAAATCTCTTGGAATGGTGGAATAAGGCTAAAAACACATCGGACGACTTTGTGGGCGTTTAAGCTACCTTAAAGGTGCCCCCACTAGACCAAAATCCTGGATCCGCCACTGTGTTGACCGAATGACCAGAAACAAGAGGTGGTCAAAAGGGAAAAAAAGTGTGTAACTTTTATAAAAAATAATCCCAAATAAGCAACAACAACAAATAAAAGAGCTTGTCACATTTGTAAAGAAAATATGCTACTTATTTTCACCTTGTTGTCACGTTTGATACAATGATTGATCAGATGCATCTCATCCTAATGTGCATCCGAAGGTGGGGATCCCTTCTTATGCCTCCTACCGGAACCCAATTCTATATATTAAAATATTCTCATTTTTTAAGTATTTTCTTTTTTATTGTTAATTAATTAATATATGTTGGTATTACGCATATGAGTTGGATTCCGATGAGAATGAGAGCTAAGCTGAGAAGTGTAAGAAAAAAAGCTCCATCCTTAGATGCATATTAGGATGAGATGCACCAGATTAGTTCCTGTGAAAAGTGTAATTAGTGGACAAGATACTAAAGTGATCAAGGGTCTAGATTCCTTCTTACGCTTCTCACTTTAACTCTTCTTCTCACACGATTCTTCACCTTAAGCATATTCCCTCTTAAACATTTCTTCTTGGTATTACACCACCATCACTTCATCTCTTTCATTATGATCGACTTCATTCTATTTACTCTTAATCAATTGATACAAAACTATGACATAAAATCAAGTCAAGTTTATTGCCTTCTTCCTCACCATTGTTTTCGGTGACAAGAACTGCAACACCGTCTGATGCTGCAAAACCTAGAAGTTGAAGATCGAGAAATGGGTTTGTATCAAAACCCAAAAGTTGTAGGTGATGATTATTAAACCAAAACCCAGAAATTAAGGTGATGACTGTTAGACCAAAACTCATAAGTTGTAAGTTACCCTTTATTCTCTTTGTGTGTAATATAAATAATATATATATATATTTTATTAACCTGGATATCTAAACCGCTAAGCGAGCAGACTAATTCTAGGACGACCATCTGCTTTGCAGATAGCCCGATAGTCACCGCATTTGAACCTCCGTGGCCACAAGGAGATTTTTATTCCTTCTTGGATTTGAACTTGAGACCTCCTGATATTTTTGACCTTTGGAGTTAAGCTCAAACCACCCTTGTGGTTATTATTATATAATAATATATAATTATCGTTAGTAGAGTTATGGTAAGGATCCCAACCTGTAACCACAATGACTACAAATGTAATTATTTTGTTTGAAAGACCTAATTCGTAACTCTAATATAACCGTAGGGACTAAATCTATAATTTGCTCTATAAATTAATAGTAGAATAAATAAATAAATAAATGAAAGAAAATCTAGAGCGAACAACAATCGCTCCAGTGCACAACCGTACTGCAGATTATATCACCTCACTAATCATAGCTCAACATCTGTCTCCCAATCCATCCGGCCGCCTCTGACTGTCTGTCATAAATATCTTATTTGACCGTTCAGTCACTTTAACACCTAGCAGAGAGATCGAATTTAACGAAAACCAAACCCTTTTGGCAATCGGTGAATCTGTATCCATCTTTCCCAATTCGATTTGGTTCGATTGAAGATCGATAGAACTCAAATTCGATCAAATTAGTGAAGAAAAAAAGTTGGATCGAACGATTCGAAACCTAATTTCGTATGTCCGATTGAAGTGGTAAAGAGGTGAACCCTAGTTGATTGAAATTATTGGGGATTTTGTAGTTGATTGAATTGAAGCGCTGTATGAAAGATACAGGGGGAAGAAGGCGATCATAGAAAACAAAAATTATAGCTGCACACCCAACATGTCTGCGGTAGTGTGCGGGAAAAGATCATCTTTCTTCGAGGATCATACCGTACCTTCTTCTTCATCGCCATCGCCTCCTGCTTCTAAAAGAATTCGTTGCTCTTCTTCATCACCTGTTCAATATTCGTCAGCGACGTCATCGTCGTGGTTTTTTGCACTTGATCGTCTCATTGCGCTGTTCCCTGACATGGATGAGCAGGTTAGTTCCTTGTTAGTATTCGTGTCTTTTGCTTTTCAAAAGAAAACATGTGGTATCTTTAGTTCTATTGTTCTTGTTTTCTATAATCGCCAGCGCTTTCAATTCAATCATCTACAAAATCCCCAGTAATTTCAATCAGGTTCACCTATGTACCATTTCAATGGCTCAATCCAACCTTTTTGGGTCGAATTTAAGTTCTATCGATCTTCAATTGAACCAACTATTTGCACTGGAGTTGTTATTCCGTGGTCATTTTTGTAAATTGGAATTCTTATAGCAATGGCTTTGTTGATTTGATGGAATTAACACTTAGCGGACAACCTCACGTGCATGCTATAGCATGTAACATAAACCTGAGAGTTGGGAATTGGTGTTGATCCGCAAGCTCTTAGGCACATCCTTTTTTCTGATGATTATCCAAGGCACGATTATATCTATTCTTTTGTGATGAAATATACATATATGTTTCGTACTTAGGAATGCATTTGCAGTTTGGACGCTTTCAGAATTTTTTGAGCATTATCATAGACTGTTCAGGTTTATCACATGGTGGATTGGAAGGATCTTCTTTAGGATGCATTTGGTATGTGGGATAGGACGGAACAGTACAAAAACAAAAACTCGTCTCATGTTTGGTGGGACATTAGACTAGAACAAGGACAGGGTTGAGTGGGACAAAAAACCCGTGTCCCCTAGAAATAGGTGTAATAAAATCCAGGCAGACATGACAAGATTGGTAAATTATTAAACTAGACATATCAAATTAAAACCCAAAAACCTTGCACGATTCTTTCACATGCCTCCCTCATTCTCACCTGTCCAGTCTAGTTGTGTCTGCGTACCAAACACATGCTTAGTGGCCTTTTACTAAACTACCCTCGTCAAATTAAAACACTAAAACCTTGCACAATGATTTCCAATGCCTCCCTCACTCTCACCTGTTCCCTCTAGTCGTCTCTTTCTACCAAACGCACTCTTAGTGGCCATTTACTGACACAAACTGGGTATGAGTCAACACCATCACTTACCATACCGGGTAAGATTATAGTTATCAAAATAGCATAGTATAAATGTCTTTTACTCAATAAATACTAACAAGGTAAGAGTCACCACCCTCACTTACCGGGTAAGATTTTCAGTTAACAAAATAGCATGATAAAATTGTTGGTAAAGACCATCATCTCTGACTGGGTAAGCGTTTCTTACTTGGTAAGAGGCAGTAAGTGTTTAGTTACCCGGTAAGAGGCCGTAAATGTTTAGTAAACAATCCCTTAGTGTCATCCCATGTGAGTTTGTATACTATATCTGCTTATCTTTAACCGCATATTATCAACTCCAATGTCTTTCACTAATCATGTACATTGAAGAGTAGAATTTTGTGTCATGTGACACACACCATGTTTAGTAGGAATTTAGGTGCAGTTAAGGGTTCTTCGGTTCATGAGGATGGGAATACTTTTTTTGTTCATTGTTCTTTATTGTTAGCTGGGAGGTGTGTGGGGGATAATCTAAAATGAGATAAATTGCAAGTGTGATAAACATTTTTGGGGATGCACTGCGGGTCAATCTGTTTTATGGTTATTTAAGTGGTCAAGGAATGTCTCGGAATTGTTAATGTTGATTGAGATATAATCTGTTCACATATATGAGATGATTATTGGCCGAACAGTACCCGGGTTACCGGTAGATCCCAGCCTTCTAGGAGGTGAAGGGTTCAAACCTCAAGAAAGGTGAGGAGTGTGCTTGGCAGCGTGAGTATTTGCTGTACATAAATTATTATGTACTTTAAAAAAAAACTATCTAGTCTTGTAATTTTTGTTGAAATATATAATATTTATTATACGGCAAAGCTCACACTAACTCCTCACCTTTGGCGAGGCTTTAACACTTGATCTGAAAGGAGGTTGGGATCTACCTGTAACTCAGGTGCCACTGGGCCATTGAGCATCTGCCAAATTACATATTATGTTTTGTAATCTTACCAGCTACTAACAATCCAAATTATCTATATTTTAGCTTGTTGAAAGAACCCTCAACCAATGTGGCGATGACATAGAAACTGCCATCAAAAGTCTTACCGAGCTACGTTTGGTTTCTGTTGAGAATGCTGAATCTGCTGTTGGGAAGGAAGCGGGGTATCAAAATCAGCCTCATAGTGTGTCTGGTAAACATATCCTGGACCCATTTTTGCTGCATTTCAATCCTCTTACTTTGTGCTAGCCCTGCTAGAACTTTTGTAACTGTGATGCTGCTGTGTATATAGATTTTGCAGCTAATGGGGCAGTGAATGGTGAGGCCATGCCTTTTGACAATTCACCACCCCCAAAACAACCTGTAGATGGTGCAGACTGGGTGGACCTTTTTGTGAGAGAAATGTTGAGTGCCTCCAATATGGATGATGCTCGAACCCGTGCTTCAAGAGCACTCGAACTGTTGGAGAAATCTATACGTGAACGTGTTACCACGGAGGCACGTGGCCTTCAGCAGGTGGGCTAACTCTATCTTGCGACATCCCAAAGGAAAATGGGGTCCTTCAGTTAAACAAACTTCTGACAGGACTTCTTTAAATCCATAAGAGCATCTCCAACATCTATACTATAATTTTTCTAAAATAGAATCTCTTACAGATTACATCCATCTCCAACAGCTACTCTATTTTAACAATTCCAGCAGTAAATATACTATTAATTCATCATCCCAATACACTTTTAAAAAATCTTTATACAAGAAGTGTAACACATTCAACCCCATTGGTGGAAGCAATTAAAATAATATATTTCTCTACTCGACATTAAGTTTTTAGAGATTTCTCTAAATTTGGAGATTTCTACTTCCTCTCTCTTATTTTCTCGGTTTTAGCATAGTTGTGAGAGCAACAGAAACTCTAAAATCTCTATTTTAGCATAGCTGTTGGAGATGCTCTAACTTTTTGGCAGGTTTGGCAATGCCACTGCTTAACAGAACTACAGAAGAATGTCACTTCCATACACAAGAACGTCTAAAAACCTGTCCAAAGGTCATGAATTTAAAAAGCACTTTTCAGGAGATCTTTTAGCTAACTAACTCGAGGAAAAGGCTAGCTATATTTGTGTTTGTAATTTAATAAAGCTTTCATCACTTTTTCTTTCCAACCCATAGTTTTTTGGGTTGTTTAGTTTAGTTTTATTGTTGTTTATTGGCAGGAAAATTTGATGATGAAGGAACATCTCCAAGCTCTAATTCAGGAGAACTCCGTCTTGAAGCGAGCTGTTGCAATTCAGCACGAACGGCAAAAGGAGTTTGAGGACAGGGGCCAAGAGTTGCATAACCTCAAGCAGATGGTATCTCAATACCAGGAGCAGCTGAGAACCCTTGAGGTCAGGCTGCCATCCCTCAAACCATTCTACTTAATTGCAATGTACTCTTAAGGTTTTGTTAATATTTTTTCACTATCAGCCAAATGCCTAAAAAATTCCAGTAATAATGAGAAAATATGAGAACTTATGGATCACTTAATACCATCAAAAAGTGTACCTCTGCCTTTTAAATAAGTTTATCCTGAAATTTCCAAGAATTAGAAGTTTGAATTGACAACAGCATAGGCGGGCCTAGTAAGTTTTTCCAAGTGGTGGCAGCATTTGACTATAAGAAATGAAGCTACGGATATCTTTGTATGTGTGGTCTTGTGTTCAAGTTGTTTATCCCAATTTTTTTCAAAAACATAATAAACCTGAAATTGAAAGCTAAAAACTATAAAAATGATACAAATAAGATTCAAACCCATGCATGGGAGGGGAGAAAATACCTTGCACACCAACTTTACTAAGAGAAACCTGTGTCATTACATTAGTTTAGAGGAATATGTGGTTGCTCCTGACAAAATAATACCGTGACACCTTTCACGACCCTAAGAAATGTTATTACTATGACAGAGGAACGAAGTTGTGGCCCATGCCACTGTCTGCACCATAGTGGGTCCGGTCCTGCTCAAACTAGTCACTTTTGTTCGGTTGGATAAGAGGCTGTTTAGAAAAATCTACAAACCCACCATTTGGGACTGGTTGTTGATTTTGGTGCTGAGTAGAAACTGAGTTTAAATTAATCTCATTTATTTACTAAAACAACCTTATTTTATTTGTGAACGACCAAACCAAGTCAAACGAACCCAATCTATCCCACATAGAGCTAGAGTCTGGTGGTAGGTTGTATGTAGTAGACCGTTACTCTAACGCATGAAAAGTAGGAAAAACTAAAAGAACTCTGTATCTACCGTAAGGCTCTAGTAACCTAAACGCTACCTCTCCATGTTATTTTATGAATTAACAAACATAATCCTTCGTAACCTATTTTAAGAATTTCAAGATTAAATTGATTTACCTTGTATTAGAATAATTATTTACCAACAAATTAGTTATAATAAGAGAAATTAGAACATGGAAGAGAACAAAACAAGAGTTGATTGTTTCAGTGTTGAAGCTTTCACAATTTTGCTGGCTGATGGGTAAGAAAAGTTGGAACAAGTTAGGGGCAGTTCAATTAGGCAATGTTTGGCAACATAAGGCCACTCTAACCGATGTGCTAAAGAGTTAAAGTGTCATAGTGCAGTAACAAGTCATCTCCAACCAATATTAGTACGCTTTGATGAACCTCATTTAACTCCGAATGATATTTAATTTAGATATATGTTTTATTTTAATTGGCGGAAAATTTAATAATTTAAAAAGTTGTAAAGCTAATTACTAAATTAAATGTGTTGGTATACTAAGATATAAAAGTATAAATATAATTAATTTACTAAAACTAATTAATATGCAAAAAAAATTATTTTAGTAAAATAAATGATATAAACATAAATTTAACTAATTTATTTAAACTAATTAATATACACAAAAAATGATGTAGGTAACCTTGGTCTATTAAAGTAAAAAGGACTTCATACTTGTCACATGGTGATGTATGGATTTAATTAAAATCTCATTCGAGGTTATATACCTAAATTAATACACATATGTTAGATATATAAAAGTGCTATAATTTAGCACTGACCGGGTGGAGATAATTAGTGCTATCTGATGATTAGTGCAGATTTGAGTATTAAAATTTAGTACTAGTGCTATATTTAGCACTTTTGGTTGGAGATGGTCTAAAGGGCCGTTTACTAAATGCTTACCCGGCAAGTATTTACCGGGTAATTTTCCTCACCGGATGAACATGGCAAGGGCCAAGAATCTTATCTGGTAAGAGCGATGACAAGGATGGAGAGTCTTACCCAGGTAAGCGCTTACCAGGTAAATTGTTGTATAGGATACGTTTTGTTGTACTACGATCTTACCCAATAAAATAAATTATAGTGTTGACTTCTAATGTTAAGCACTTACCGGGTAAGCATTTAGGTAAACGGCCCCTAAGTTAGGTTAGTTTTTGTACTTTTCGAAAAAAACCAATTTGGTTAGCTATAAGCTAGTTTTTTTTCTTTCAAAAACTACTTCATGTAGTATTTCAATCAGCTACATGGGCTTTTTCCACTTCTTGTTTCAATGGGCAAATTGCATGAAAAAGTAATATATTTAACTTGATTTCTATTTTGAGTACCGTCCTTTCAAAACTTCCATTTTGGTATTTAAGATGTAATTTATTAAACATTTAAGTACCCGGGTAACCGGTTGAAGACTAATTTTGAATTAAAAAAATCCATGTCACCAACCACGTCAGCAAATAATACTGAGTTGGATACCACATCACTCGCCACATCAGCCTGATAACTTACTCGGGTACTTAAATGTTTAAAACTTTACATCTTAGGTACCAAAATGGAAGTTTTGAAAGTACGTTACCCAAAATAGGAATCAAGTTAAAGTACGTTACTCTGCATGCAATTTGCCCTTTTTCAATTATCCGGTCAGATGTTTTTCAAATTAAGTTTTCAACAAGTTTGCTCAGGTTAATATATTGTTATCTAGTTTATCAGCTCACATCTAAATTTATCAGTCAACAACTAGCTTTTCAGGGCCTCATGATCTATTACTCTGTCGCAGGTGAATAACTATTCTCTGACCATGCACCTGAAGCAGGCTCAACAAGGCAGCTCAATTCCGGGACACTTCCACCCTGATGTATTTTAGTCAATACGGTATGCTGCACCGTCTTATATATGTCGTCAAAGAAGCTTATATTTATATACCGTTACATTTCCATACACTTCTTAAGCTTTACTTCGTATTTTTAATGCCTAATCGTGCAAGGCTTATAACAATTCGATCTACGAAAGATTTGTTTTGTTCGTTAAGACTTTATTTGTGATGTATAACAAAAATATCGATTTCATGGTTGTTCTCTTCTACATTGCGTCTTTTAGCCTTGGTTTCTAACTTTGCAAATATCAAGTGGCCCTAACCGTCGACCTATGGCAAGTGGACCCAAGGTGCTCCAAGGCCTACCGTTTTTGTGTTGGTTGAGCTATCCCCTTAAGGTTTAAAAACTACGTATTGGTGATTTATGCTTACGATATTAAGCAGTCCTAGGCATGTTCGAATGGATGAAACTCATACAGAATAATTGGGCCGTATTTGACGACCATAAGTTAGCTTAGAGACCGTTTACTCGAACACTTACCGTGTAAGCACTTTCCGGCAAGAGTTACCACTCTCACTTGCATTATTAGGTAACATTCCCGACCATTAAAATGGATTGTTAGCAAGCGTCTTTACCATATTTACTCGGTATATGTTTAGTAAACCGCCCCGTAGCTTTAAGCTTACCAGTTTGGGTTTCAAACGATTTTTCCACTTATTTCAATTATGACCCTATTATTTTCCAATCAAGTTGTCGACATGTTTTTAGGTCAATTTGCATTGTCGTCTAAACTAGCTTTTAGGGTGCGTTTGGTGCGCAGACAGGACTGGACAGGACAGGACGGGACGGGACAGGACGGGACAGGACAGCTGTTCAACGTTTGGTAAGACAGGACAGGACAAGACAGAACATGCTAAAATGACCAATTTACCCCCAGCAAAATCGTTTCAATTGAATCAGGCGCAAACATGAATCAGAAACCCTAAATCGCCGAATTATAACAAGTTTAAGAAACNAAACCCTAAATCGAGTTATGCAAAATCGAGAATGAAATCAGAAACCCTAAATCGCCGAAACCCTAAATCGAGTTATGCAAAACAGCAAACATGAATCAGAAACCCTAAATCGCCGATTGATGAAGGATAGGTAGGGTGCGATGGTGTACCTGATGTGACAAACCCTAGATCGTTCAAACAGCAAACAGCCGATGGAAAGGAAATCGTCGATTGATCGGACTGCCGTCGCCCATCGCCTCTGCCGTGGCCGGTCGCCTCGCCGGTCGCCGATTGATGAATGGAGGAGCGATGGAGAGGTAGGGGAAGGCGGGGAAGGAAGCGATGGTGAGGGTAGATTAGTAAAAAATACCCTGTTCTACTTAGTTCCAGGGGGTAAGGTAGAACACCCGTGTCCCATCCTTGTTCATGTTAGTTCTACTTAGTTCCATTTAATAACACACCAAACATGGGACAAGTGTGTCCTGTTCTGTCATGTTCCACCTTGTCCCACGCACCAAACGCACCCTTACGGAACATGACTAGTTTATCAGCTAACCACCAGTTTATCAGATATCATAGGTAAATATTAGCCTTTGAATCATACCGAATGCATCGATAGACAGATAATGCAAATCTCATATTCGATATCGAGAATCGTTTGTTATCCAAACGATGGACCGATCGATATAAATGGACGAAAAAGTGCAAGTCGTTCGTCAAATATCTAACGTTAGATAACACACAAAGAGACAAAAGAATGAGAACCATATAAACAATATTATATGGTAAAGTGTTGTTGTTTGTATGTATATGTATATGTGTGAAGGAGGTGGTGGTGGTGGTGGTGATGAATAAAACACCAATTAGGAGGGGACCAAAAACACCCCATGCTTATTATTCCATTAAAAGATAGCAGAGTTTGCTCACATGGGGCATGTGCTGGGATGGGAACCCTCTTATGGTTTTATGATTTCTTTTTTATTTTAATTTACGGGGTAAGACTTTAATTCAGCAAAATGACATCGTATGCAATAATTTGCCCAGTAAGTGCTTACCATTGTAAGAGTCGTCGCCTTCACTTACCGGGTAAGACTCTCGGTCCTTGTCCCCCTCTTACTTGGTAAGATTCTTGGTCTCTACAATGTTCATCCGGTAAGGTAATGTGACTTGGTTAGTGTTTACCCGGATAAGCGTTTGGTAAATGGTACCTTAGTCTTTTATTTGGACAAAAAGTTGATTAAGAACTACTTAATCGCCTTCATACGGAACCTGTTTTCAAGGACACCAATTTGAAGGTATATTTTTTGAACTCACTCAACGACTGATACTAGCTTAGGAGGTGTCTAGGATCGAATCCATGACCTATTTTGTATTTGGATGGAACACCCGTATCTCATGAGGCCTAGTGGTGTGGGATGACTTGCCTACTACCTAGGTCGTGTCAAAGGTCGTTTACGTCTCTGATTTAGTATCAAATTTGATGCACTATAATATCACATACTATTTTCACATTTTTGCAAAATGTTGTGTTCTCGTTTGAAATCACCACACACACAATATATGTATATATATATATGTATGTATGTATAGATATAGATATGTGTGTAAAACGTAAAAAGAATGCAAATATTTTCTTTAACAGAGTAATCCCCATGAAAACGTTATGGCACACGTTTGGCCTTACACAGCTGCTACAAGAATAAATATGATGTCAAAGACAAGTCTCCAGTTCATGACACATTTTTAATAGAAACTTTGCTCAAAAGTACAGTGACAACCTATCCCGTGAAGATGCCCAGGCAAGCATGCCTAGGGCTTTGACAAGACGAGACAAACCATAGACTGGCATGTTGTCTACTGCACCACCCTTTTCCCTTTCTAACCGTAAATATTTCGCTAGAGTATGCTGCAGTATTTTCTAGATTATTTCAATACGTTTACTTGGTGCAAAAAGACGTAACTAACCAAACCAAGTCTATACGCTTATACGTTGATCATGCTTACTTGCACGATGTCATGCACACATCTTGTTAGCCTAGCCTCCTACGCATCGATTAAGCACTGAAAGTGCTTGTCTAAACATCAGTCTTGTACGTTGTCCGTGTTATAAACCAAGTCTATTATCAATTTACCGAAGTAAAAATACAAATCTAATATAAAATTTCCAATGAAAAGAATGATTATAACTAGTGTCACATCACATTGAAATGGTACATAATAAATTGATATGTACAAATAATACGAGGGTGTCTTGTCTCGTCTTTACCTTTTGTATATTACAGTTTTTAGAATATATGGAAAACGAAACATGTGAGGTTGCATTTTTGGTATCTGCTTATTGATGTAATCTGATAATTTATTGATATCCAACCCGCTATGCGAGTCGACTAATCCCAGGGCGACCACCTGCTTTGCAGGTAGCCCGGAGTCACCGCATTTGAATCTTTGTTTCTTCTTGGATTTGAACCTGGAAAATCCAGACACTTTTGACCTTTGGAGCCAAATTCAAACCAATCAGGCACCACCATTGTGGTTCCTAGTGTTATACACTACATTGGATAACAATCTTCATATTACGATCTTGGTGTAAATACTCCTGGATTTAGCTTTTGACGTTGAAACGATAAAGTGTTTAAGATGAGCTACAAGGTTCGACAAATGCATTTTGGAGTAAACTCCGGGTTTTTAAAATTGCTATTTTCGAACTTGTACTTTTGAAGTTACGGTTTGTGTCCTTATGGTTTAAAGATTCATTGGTTTTCTCGTGATGTGATTCACAAGTTCTTGTTTTTTTTATTCCGTATACTTAACAGTAAACCACAGACAGAGTTAGTTGTGTGAACGAAAACAACAAAGAATTGTAAAACCATAGGAAAAAAATACCGTATTTCAAAAGCACGTGGACAGAAGTCGCAATTTTTAACAGACCACAAGAATTATTTATGTTGAAACACAATAGCTTACTGTTATATATTTCAGTTGGTTATTTTTATGTACTTCTGGTTCTATTAATTATTTATATTTGCTTTAGTTGTTTCTTGGACTGCTTTTGCTTCTATTAGCTACTGTTATTTATTTATGGTTGTCTGCATACCTGCTTTATATATTGGTTACTGTTATATGTTCTTGCTTCTTAGGCATGGAATATGCCCCGACCCGTCGAGGAACCTGGTCCACCTGCCCCGGTCGGGGACGGGGATTCCTTGCTAAATCGGGGATGGGGACGGGGATCCCCGCTTGTCTCAAACTGGGGATGGGTACGGAGACGGGTATGGTACTCCCGGCCCTGCCCCGTCCCGTACCCGTTATATATATTAATTAATAAATTGTTTATATATATATATATATATATATATTATTTATACATATGTATATATATATATATGTGTGTGTGTGTGTGTGTGTGTGTGTATTATTTATTTCACTAAAGCGGTAGTTCATAATTATCTATTTTCTAACTAGTTTTATAATCTAAAATTGTTATTTTTTGAATGTTAATATGTAATATTTTGGATATCAAGTCAAAATGCAATTACTCGATAAGTTTTGTATATTACTAGATATGGTTTCATATTACTAATATCTTTTGATACATGTGACTTTAAGATTTTTTGAATTTAATTGAATATTTTTTGGTTTTAGGTTATTAGTTTTTATATGATGTTGTGGTTTTTTTGTATTAAATTAAATTCATTTTAGTTTTAGGTTTATTGAAAATGTTTGAGATTTAAACATATATGGTCTCTCACATATTTAATTTAAAATATCTTATATAAATGAAAAAAAAAATTCCCCGTTTCCCTGTTGGGGATGTGGATGGGAATGTGATTATATTCCCCGGCGGGGATGGGGACGAGGACGGGGATAGAGATAAGTAATCTAGGACGGGGACAGGAATTGAGGTCCCCGCCCCATTCCCATGCGTATTGCTTCTGTAACTATCAGTATACTTCTGTTTCGTGGTTATTGCTATTTACTATTTGATAATCTATTTATTGTTTTTACGACTTATGACATGTTTCATAGTTTTATGATTTTCCTGTTAGATGTATTTAAGGGCCGTTTACTAAACACTTATTTGGTAAGTGCTTAGTGGGTCATTTTACCTTATTGGATGAACATAACTGAGATTCTTACCAGATATGAGCAATGACAAAGATCGAGATTCTTACCTGGTAAGTGCTTATCGGATAAAAACGTTATGTACGAGGTCGTTTTAATAGACTAATAAGTGAAAGTATTGACTCTTACCGATAAACGCTTACTAAGTAAACGGTGG